ACACACACACACACACTGTGTGAGGTCACCTTCCCTCTGTTTACCAAAGGTGCTGTGGGGAGGGCTCTCACCCCCTGCTTCCAGGCATGAACCAGGCTCTAAGGACTGGGGGGGCAGGAGGGGACTTCCCTTGGGCAGGGGGAAGTGTGACACTTATGGGGTAACTCAGGGGGTTCAGGGTGAATAAACTACGAGGGAGCCTTGTCCGTGCCCACTGGGGGAAACTGGCCCCAATCCACTGGCTGGTGGCCACTCTGGGCTCCGCAAGCCCTGCTCTTACCCACCTCAGGCTAACAATTTATACTCCTCAGCCCCTGGGCTCCCTACGTGGGGCCTTGGGGCAGAGCAGACATACCCTGTGGCTAAATCTATGGAGCTCGTCAGCCTCCGCAACATGTCTGTACACCTCCCAGCATCCCACTGCGTGCCCAGGCCCTTGACTTCTGGACACCGCAATGTGCATGGATTTGCTAACCCTGCGGAAGCAGAACCCCCTGCACACTAGCTTCTCCTTGGCACCCAGTACTGACCATGTCTGCAGTAAAACCAATTGGGAGTTTATGTGACAAAGCTTAAGATAAAGCTTCAAATATAAGTGAGTGGAAGGATCAGAAACATCTTGTTACAGATAAACCAAAAATAGAAAACACCTTCTAGAGCCCCTCCTTAGGAATAAGTTCCTGCCCTGCCTACTAAGGTATTTCTCATCCAGTGGTCAGTCGATCTGGACAGCGTTTGGCCAGTTGAGAGCTGGGATTCTTTCTGCTCATGCGGGTGGGCAGTGCCCCTCCATAACAGATGTCATTTTGTGCCCTCCTTTCCCATCTTATACAGCTTATATTTGTCTCTTTTCCCAACCAGGGAGTTTCATTAACTTCAGCTCACCCCTGCTGGGCCCCCTAGGCAGGGTCCTTTTCCCTGGATTCTTTGGAGCTTTGTAAAGGCCCGAGCCAGCCTCTGTCTAGGCTGTGAACACTTGGCTAGGCTGGGGCAAAAGATGGCAGTTCTCATTTTGAGCTAGGTCTGAGAACGCTCCCGCCTGTCCGGTGACCAGTTTCACGTCCAGCAGCTTTGGCCACAATATTCTACATAGTACCTGACTTGTCTACACTGCAGCCTACATTGGGAAAGAATATGTCACTCAGGGGTGTGAATATGCCACCACCTGGGGCGACATAAGTTACACCAACATAAGCACTGATGTGCACAGCGCTGTGTCAGCGGGAGTGCTTCTCCTGCCAAGGCAGCTCCTACCGCTTGCAGAGGTGGGTTTTTATGCCGACGGGAGAGCTCTCTCCCGTCGGCATAGAGCATCTTTCCTAGACGCGCTGCAGCTGTATGGAGCAGCAAAGCCACTGCAGCGCTGTACATATAGACGTACGCTTCGACTGTTTCCTGTGTGTGCATCCCACAATAACCATGACAACCAAAGAGTAGGTTTAGAACAAAGATAAGGCAACACTTCTACACACAGCACACAGGCAACCGGTGGAACTCATTGCCAGGAGAGGCTGTGATGCCCAAAAGTGTAACTGGGTTCAGAAAAGGACTAGATAAGTTCATGGAGGAAAGGTCCGTCAATGTCTATTGGCCAAGATGGTCAGGGATGTAACCCCATGCTCTGGGTTTCCCTAAACCTCTGACTGCCAGAAGCTGGGACTGGACAGCAGGGGATGGAATTGCCCTGTTCTGTTCATTCCCTCTGAAGCACCTGGCACTGGGCACTGTCAGAGACAGGACACTGGGCTAGATGGACCATTGCTCTGACACAGTCTGGCCATCCTGTTCTTAACCAGTAGGCTCTGAGTTTTCGGCAGAGGCCATGCCCAGCCCCTTTTGGGGAAATATCAGGAAGGTGGCACTCACAGGGGATGGGCCTGTTTAAGCTAGTCCCTGGGTACACTCAGCTGTGTTTCCCCATCTGCTGCCAACATGGGGCACTGGGATCATGACAGGTTCATGACTGTAGGGTCCTGGCGCCTTCCTGGGAAGCAGCTGTTGCCGGACGGTGTTGGGGACTGAGCAAGATGGGGCTGGGATCAGATCCAGCCTGGCCGTTGCTGCGTTCCCAAGTTCTGATGTGGCCTAATATCTGTGTCCAGCCCCTTCCCCCCTCCTGGATGTGAAGAATTCCTCCCTGTTTTGCTCCTGGCTCAGAACTATCCAAAATGGCCTTGTGAAGAAGGGCCATCCATGAGTAGACAGGACACTTCCCCACATGCATGGTGGAACTGTCCCGGAAGCAACGTCAATGCGAGGAGAGGGGGAGATCAGTGAGTGAGCAAGAACTGCAGCTCAACAAGGGCAGGGTTAACTGCCCTTGGCCGTGCTCCCAGATGGCAACCCACAGTAGAAAGGCAGCGAGGGACTGATGTCCCAGAATTAACTCTCACCCAATGAGGGGGAGATTCTGATCTGTGATCCAGGGCTATAAATCTGAAGGGGCCCCATGGGAAGCACTCCCAAAAATACACTGGGGTAAGTGAGAGCCGTGCCCGAGGAGCTCCATGCACCTGGTTCACCATTTCTTGCCCCTCACCTTATCATTACACCAGCGCAAGATGGGATGGAAAGCTGCTGAACCCAACTGGTAGCAGTTTGCACTGCCCCTGCATTGGTGTGAATTTTCACCCACCTTGCAAGGCTGTGGATTCCCCATTGTGAATTTCCACCCAGTTCATGCTCGTCTTGCACTGGTGTGAACTTCCACCCCGTTTGTATTGGTGTTCATTTCTCCCCTTTTGTGTCCTCGCTCAACCAGTGTGTATTTCCACCCACCTGGTAATCACATGGCAGTGATGTGGATTCCCGGCCTGAGTTTCCACCCAATCTCCACCCGCCTTGCACCTGGGTGAGTTTCCACTCAAAATCCCATTTAATAACAAAGCATCTTAGCAGCTAACCCTGAAGCTCAACAAGCAAAATTCACATGTGAGAATCCTCACGCTCTAAGAGATGCAAAAGCACCAATTCCACCTTCTTAATTGCACTGACACTTTAAACACAGCCCAGAAAAGCAACATGCCAGAATCAAATGGATTCTGGAGGAATAATTGGATTCTCTTGGAACCCCAGAGAAACATTAATTTTTGCACCATTTGTTTTGTATTTTTGCCACTCACACAGCTAATAGGGCAACTGAATGAGCCAAAACCTTATCTGTGTAAGAAGAGTCAGGATGAGCTCCACCCTGACATCTGGTGGTGAGTTGTGGCAAGTTGTGGAAAAGAACTTCAGGGGCTGATCTCATTTGCATAGGCACACCCACCCCGCCTAGCATGAGCCCATAGCTGCCGAAATGGTTACTTTGGCTGCTGTGGGATCCCCAGTTTCTCTGTTATTGGGGCAGGAAGAATAAATAGATAATTGTGTGAATCAAGGACAGTGGAACTGTACTTGGTCTTTTGTTATGATAGAGGGACTCACCATCAACGAAGGAGCACTCGCTAGGCAAGGGACATGGGTTCCAAAACTTAGTGTTTTGATTCTATTGGGAATCTAGTTATAGGCTTCAGAGTAACAGCCATGTTAGTCTGTATTCATAAAAAGAAAAGGAGTACTTGTGGCACCTTAGAGACTAACCAATTTATTTGAGTATGAGCTTTTTTGAGCTACAGCTCGCTTCATTGGATGCATACCGTGGAAACTGCAGCAGACTTTATATACACACAGAGAATATGAAACAATACCTCCTCCCACCCCACTGTCCTGCTGGTAATAGCTTATCTAAAGTGATCATCAAGTTGGGCCATTTCCAGCACAAATCCAGGTTTTCTCACCCTCCACCCCCCCCCACACAAATTCACTCTCCTGCTGGTGCTAGCCCATCCAAAGTGACAACTCTTTACACAATGTGCATGATAATCAAGTTGGGCCATTTCCTGCACAAATCCAGGTTCTCTCACCCCCTCACCCCCCTCCCAAAAACCACACACACAAACTCACTATCCTGCTGGTAATAGCTCATCCAAAGTGACCACTCTCCCTACAATGTGCATGATAATCAAGGTGGGCCATTTCCAGCACAAATCCAAGTTTTCTCACACACCCCCCACCCCCATACACACACAAACTCACTCTCCTGCTGGTAATAGCTCATCCAAACTGACCACTCTCCAAGTTTAAATCCAAGTTAAACCAGAACATCTGGGGGGGGGGGGGTAGGAAAAAACAAGGGGAAATAGGCTACCTTGCATAATGACTTAGCCACTCCCAGTCTCTATTTAAGCCTAAATTAATAGTATCCAATTTGCAAATGAATTCCAATTCAGCAGTTTCTCGCTGGAGTCTGGATTTGAAGTTTTTTTGTTTTAAGATAGCGACCTTCATGTCTGTGCTTGCGTGACCAGAGAGATTGAAGTGTTCTCCGACTGGTTTATGAATGTTATAATTCTTGACATCTGATTTGTGTCCGTTTATTCTTTTACGTAGAGACTGTCCAGTTTGACCAATTTACATGGCAGAGGGGCATTGCTGGCACATGATGGCATATATCACATTGGTGGATGTGCAGGTGAACGAGCCTCTGATAGTGTGGCTGATGTTATTAGGCCCTGTGATGGTGTCCCCTGAATAGATATGTGGGCACAATTGGCAACGGGCTTTGTTGCAAGGATAAGTTCCTGGGTTAGTGGTTCTGTTGTGTGATATGTGGTTGTTGGTGAGTATTTGCTTCAGGTTGCGGGGCTGTCTGTAGGCAAGGACTGGCCTGTCTCCCAAGATTTGTGAGAGTGTTGGGTCATCCTTTAGGATAGGTTGTAGATCCTTAATAATGCGTTGGAGGGGTTTTAGTTGGGGGCTGAAGGTGACAGCTAGTGGCGTTCTGTTATTTTCTTTGTTAGGCCTGTCCTGTAGTAGGTAACTTCTGGGAACTCTTCTGGCTCTATCAATCTGTTTCTTTACTTCTGCAGGTGGGTATTGTAGTTGTAAGAAAGCTTGACAGAGATCTTGTAGGTGTTTGTCTCTGTCTGAGGGGTTGGAGCAAATGCGGTTGTGTTGGGAACACTGGGGCATGGCCACTAGGTAACTCGAGGGGATGGAAGACCACGAGTGTCGATGAAGCCCCCTCGCACTAGGCCCCGGTGTCCTTGGCCCCCCCTCCTTCCTGGAGGCACTCGCAGCAGCTCTGCGTACTAGGCCCAAGTGTCCTTGGCCCCCCTGCCTGGAGGCACACACAGCAGTTATGCTGAGAATCTGCAACAGTATGTTGCAGAGTCAGACTGCCTGAAACTAAGCAAGGCCAAACAGGGGAGATATGAAAGAACAATGCTGAATAAAGCAGCTTTATGTATAGTTTAACAAATGATACAGAGAATCAGGGAACTAGCTGGGAACTGGATTGGCTGGCTATATGGATACTTGGGGCAGCTTGCTATTGGATAAGTATGCTGAGAAAAAGGATGTATAAAAGCCTGTGTAACTTCCTGCTCTGTTGTGCAGGATTTGAGATTTTATTCTCCCTGTACCTTTTTGCAGCTGCAAATAAACTTTTCTGCTTCTCCACCCCGTTGTGATTATTGGGTGTAGCACACCGGGTAACGAACCACTCAAGCTGTTGTTCAGCCTCTCGGCAGTGGGTGCCGGCAACAGCTTTATCGCAGAGCTTGGCTGTAGACGATGGATCGTGTGGTGTGGTCAGGGTGAAAGCTGGAGGCATGCAGGTAGGAATAGCGGTCAGTAGGTTTCCGGTATAGGGTGGTGTTTATGTGACCATTGTTTATTAGCACTGTAGTGTCCAGGAAGTGGATCTCTTGTGTGGACTGGACCAGGCTGAGGTTGGTGGTGGGATGGAAATTGTTGAAATCATGGTGGAATTCCTCAAGGGCTTCTTTTCCATGGGTCCAGATGATGAAGATGTCATCAATATAGCGCAAGTAGAGTAGGGGCTTTAGGGGACGAGAGCTGAGGAAGCGTTGTTCTAAATCAGCCATAAAAATGTTGGCATACTGTGGGGCCATGCGGGTACCCATAGCAGTGCCGCTGATCTGAAGGTATACATTGTCCCCAAATGTGAAATAGTTATGGGTAAGGACAAAGTCACAAAGTTCAGCCACCAGGTTAGCCGTGACATTATCGGGGATAGTGTTCCTGACGGCTTGTAGTCCATCTTTGTGTGGAATGTTGGTGTAGAGGGCTTCTACATCCATAGTGGCCAGGATGGTGTTATCAGGAAGATCACCGATGGATTGAAGTTTCCTCAGGAAGTCAGTGGTGTCTCGAAGGTAGCTGGGAGTGCTGGTAGCGTAGTGCCTGAGGAGGGAGTCTACATAGCCAGACAATCCTGCTGTCAGGGTGCCAATGCCTGAGATGATGGGGCGCCCAGGATTTCCAGGTTTATGGATCTTGGGTAGTAGATAGAATATCCCAGGTCGGGGTTCCAGGGGTGTGTCTGTGCGGATTTGATCTTGTGCTTTTTCAGGAAGTTTCCTGAGCAAATGCTGTAGTTGCTTTTGGTAACTCTCAGTGGGATCATAGGGTAATGGCTTGTAGAAACTCGTGTTGGAGAGCTGCTGAGCAGCCTCTTGTTCATATTCCGACCTATTCATGATGACAACAGCACCTCCTTTGTCAGCCTTTTTGATTATGATGTCAGAGTTGTTTCTGAGGCTGTGGATGGCATTGCGTTCCGCATGGCTGAGGTTATGGGGCAAGTGATGCTGCTTTTCCACAATTTCAGCCCGTGCACGTCGGCGGAAGCACTCTATGTAGAAGTCCAGTCTGCTTTTTCGACCTTCAGGAGGAGTCCACCTAGAATCCCTCTTTCTGTAGTGTTGGTAGGGAGACCTCTGTGGATTAGTATGTTGTTCAGAGGTATTTTGGAAATATTCCTTGAGTCGGAGACGTCGAAAATAGGATTCTAGGTCACCACAGAACTGTATCATGTTCGTGGGGGTGGAGGGGCAGAAGGAGAGGCCCCGAGATAGAACAGCTGCTTCTGCTGGGCTGAGAGTATAGTTGGATAGGTTAACAATATTGCTAGGTGGGTTGAGGGAACCATTGCTATGGCCCTTGTAGCATGTAGTAGTTTAGAAAGTTTAGTGTCCTTTTTCTTTTGTAGAGAAGCAAAGTGTGCGTTGTAAATGGCTTGTCTAGTTTTAGTAAAATTCAGCCACGCCACACAAACTTCCTCGTGTGCAGCATCACTTGCCCCATAACCTCAGCAGGTTTGATTTGTGCAGGAAATGGCCCAACTTGATTATCATGCACATTGTGTAGAGAGTTGTCACTTTGGATGGGCTATTACCAGCAGGAGAGTGAATTTGTGTGTGTGGGGGGGTGGAGGGTGAGAAAACCTGGATTTGTGCTGGAAATGGCCCAACTTGATGATCACTTTAAATAAGCTATTACCAGCAGGACAGTGGGGTGGGAGGAGGTATTGTTTCATATTCTCTGTGTGTATATAAAGTCTGCTGCAGTTTCCACGGTATGCATCCGATGAAGTGAGCTGTAGCTCACGAAAGCTCATGCTCAAATAAATTGGTTAGTCTCTAAGGTGCCACAAGTACTCCTTTTCTTTTTAGTTATAGGCTGCTGAGCTGTATTTACTATGGGACAATGGTGCACCAGCACTGAGGCTCCCTACTACAAGCTGAAATCACAAAAGAGCTAAATGTGCTAAGAGCTGAAGTCACTGAGTGCTGTGTTAAGTAGGGGGGGGGCCTGAAGATATATTGCAGAGCAGTTTGCAGGACGGCTGGGTCCTGCAGATATATTGCAGAGCAGTTTGCAGGACGGCTGGGGCCTACAGATATATTGCAGAGCAGTTTGCAGGATGGCTGGGGCCTGAAGATATATTGCAGAGCAGTTTGCAGGACGGCTGGAGTGGCTCATGGGAGCAGCTGCCAGAGTGAGAGTGGAGCGTTCGGCTTTTAGACGGTGTAAGGTGCCCCTTAACCCCCTTCCCCCCCCATCTCCACTCAGGTTGGGAGGTGAAACTCTGCAGATAAACTTTTGAACTCTGGTGCTGCACTGACCAGGGACAGAGACTTTTGTGACTTTGGGTTGCTGGACTCAAGAACCAAAGAGAAAGGACATGCCCCAATTTGCTTGGGGTGGGTTTTTTGCTCATGGGTTGTGTTATGAATCCTGTTGGTGGTGTTTCCACAACATAATGCCACATTGTTTCTCTCTGTTATTAAAAGGCTTTTTGCTATACTCAGACTCTGTGCTTGCGAGAGGGGAAGTATTGCTTTTTGGAGGCGCCCAGTGGGGGTGGTATATATTTGTCCCAGGTCACTGGGTGGGGGCTCGAGCCTGTTTTACATTGTCTTATTGGAATGGAACCCTTAGATACTGAACCCCTGCCCTTGTTCTGGTGAGGGACAGAAGGGTTACATCTGAATGGTTCAGAGGTGACTTGATCATATTCTATAAGTACCTAGCCCTCCTGCTTCATGCGGTGAGCTCTGCCCAGCAAGTCCAACAGAGACGGGCATCCTGGTCAGAGATCTTTTGCCCTCCTCAGAGATCAGTGCTCCTGAGCATGTATTGTGCAGGGACACGGGGCAGCCTTTGCAAACCAAATAAGGGTCTGTGATTGGTGCACAGCATCTCAAGGCCTTGGGTTAGCAGAAAGAAGCAAAGGTAAAGCTAGAGCAGTGGTTCTCAAACATTTATACTGGTGACCCCTTTCACATAGCAAGCCTCTGAGTGCAAACCCCCTTATAAATTAAAAACACTTTTAAATATATTTAACACCATCGTAAAGGCTGCAGGCAAAGCGGGCCTTTAAGGACCCATTTGTAGCTCCCCCCCCCCCCGGCTGTGTGACACACACCCCTCCTGTCCCTTGCTCTGCCCCAGGAACAGCTATTTAACCTTTTTGCACCCAGTGGGGAGCAGTCCCTAGATAAGTGAGCCACTGCCATGCACGGCATTTATAAAAACATTACAAACAATTCCCACTTTGTCACAGTTGCTGGCTCCCCTTCTGGCCTTGCAATCTATGAACTGTTGCATAACAAGTATTTGCCTTTTTGAGCCAATGAGGCAAAAGGACCAAGATTGGAGAGAGCTGTTTAGTTCTCAAAAAACTCTGAAAGCGACAAAATAGGAAATGATGGAGCAAATCTGTCCAGACCCACAGGCTCCAATGCGCTGATGTCTCTCGCTGCTGGAAGAGAATCCTGTGAATGTTTCCTGCTATACCAAGGTGGCAGGGGCCTAGATCTTCTTTATCAGTGACACTTGTGCTTTCTGCCAGCTGATTAGTGGAGATTTAGCCAGCAAAGAGATTATAATGGGACTTTGTTTGGTACCAGGAGCGCTGTTCATTAATTTGGTTGGATAAGATGGTATGTTTCATGAGTGCTTGTTGGAACCTTAATCATTCTTGTCACTCTGGGGTGGTGTGGTGGCTGTATGCTCAGCAAAGAAAGTCTATCCATGAGAGTCATGTTGACAGCTTCAAATAGCCAAAGATGCTCCTCAGATCTCCTGGTCTGTTGTTATTATTCCTATTTATTGTAAGCCTTTTCAGCTATCATCTTCTCAGTTATTCATTTCCACTCAGCACTCTCATAGCATTGGTGTCAATTTCACTCATGTGAATGTCCCTCCGCTTTGCACTTGCTTTTCACCGGCATAAATGGCCACACAAGGTTGCACTGATGCTTAGCAATCTGATGAGCAGCAGAAAATATTTTCTTTTGGTGATTTGAATTCATTACCGTAATATAGCTTCTTGAAGTGGAGAGGAAATGGTGGGGTAGTCGGAGCTTCTGCTAGTGGTATTGGGTTTGCACATTCTGTGATGTAGCTAATACCTTGTATTTCCATGGGTGATATGATCAAAAAGATAATAAAACATTTCTTATACAAAATAAAATAATGTATTCCTGCTCTTTATCAGAAGCTTCTCTGACAAGCTGTGTGTTATTTTCTAAAGAGCCAAACTCTCTTGCATGAGAAACGTATCGATTGAGCTATTTTGTCTGAAACAGCTACATTAAAACAACACTGAGGTTGCAGTGCCAAGCACTTCCAAGTTAGGAAATGCCAGAGTTCAGGATGCCAGAGCAATCTAAATTCACCCCTCTTGTGTATTACAATCAGGTCTTTAATTACATGATCACAGAGTTTTTTCACAGGGTCCCTGCCTCATTCAGCGCACAGGATGGATGGGGCTTGTTCACTGAGTAGCTGTTCAATATGTCTTTGTATCCTCATTGTTCAGTGCATGACCCCTGAGCTGATTGACTGCCTTCTATTCTAACCCAGTTCTGAAGCCAGAATTCTTAATTTCCTCTTGGGTGTTTCTGTGGTTCCTGTCACTATAGCATTGGAGAGCTTCACAATCACTAGTGACCCCATCTTCACTGTCCCCGTGGGAGACGAGGGTGTGGGCATATCCCCACTTTGCAGGTGGGGTGTGGAGGCATGGAGATCAAAGCCAAAATTGTCACCCATTTGTCGCCACTAATTGTGGGTGCCCAGTTTGAGGTGCCTGGTCCTGACTTACCAGCACACTTAGTGCTAGGTTGCCACTTTGTGTGTTCAGAGGGCAGCCACCACTGATGTCCGATGCAGCTGGGAGTTCTCAGTTTGGTTTACATGACTTGCAGAGACAGGGTTAGAATCCAGTTCTCCAGGGTGGCATTGAGCTGCCTTGGCCATGAGACCCTCCCTTCTCTGCCCCCCCTTCGCCCCCCGACCCGATACC